TAAAAAATAAATAAATAAGGTAAAATAATAACAATTGCCCCATACTTAGACGAGCGCCTGATTTCATCATAGGTTTTTGGCAAGAGTTTGGTTTTTGAGATGGGGTACTGAGATCTCAGTAGGAGAGGATGTGAGTCTTAATATCTTTTTTGCAAACGAGGAGGTTGCCAAGATTCGGGGGGAAGACGAAGTGCAAAAAGAAGGAAATTTTTTTATTGTTCCGAAATATCTTCATGTTGGTTATGCATTTTATCAGGGTAACTGTTCGTGATGAGGTGTGGCGAATGTTTTTTTCTGTTTGGATCTACGGGGTTTGAAGGTTAGAAGGTTTAAGTGATTGTACTTGCTTTGCTTTTGGCAAAAAAGATGTATCTTTAATGAAAGTCGAGATATTTACGATTGAAGGAGAGAGGGGTGGCCTGGTTTCAGAGGTAAAATTAGCGAGAAAATGGCGCCAAAGTTTGGTGACGTCCAAGGCAGTATTGTCCTGAAAAACTGTAAATTTAAACTTCTTGTGCCTTTGGTCAACGATTTCCAGCAAATTCCACTTAGAAATGTGTTTTTAAAAGGACATAAAAGGTGTTGAGACAAAAAAAGTAAATTAAAGAAAAATGTAGTAAATGGCGAACATACTGTTTCTTTGATTGTATCATTTTGACGAGCGCCTGACGTGTGTTAGTATTAGTACATGTATTCGTATTAGTATTAGTATTTGTGTTAATGTTAGTGGAAATGGTAATATTAGTATGAACATTGGTATTATGATTGTATGATGAAGAATATGACGATGATAATGATGATAGTATTACTTTGAACATCTGCCCCATGTGCTCCAGCAGTTTCCAAAGACTCTACTCTTGTCTCCTATCCTGGCTTCCTCCTGTTAACGAAAATTGAGATATGGTCATGTGTGTGTGTGTGTGTGTGTGTGTGTGTGTGTGTGTGTGTGTGTGTGTGTGTGCGCGCGCGCGCGCGTGTGTGTGTGTGCCTGTCTATGTGTGTGTGTGTGAGTGTGCACGCGCGCGCGCGCGCAAGCAAGCAAGCAAACACGCGCAAGCGTGTCTGCTTCTCTGAGTACGTGTACGTATACTCCTCTGTGAGCTCGTGGGTTTACTCCTTCTTTCCTATTAGACATCTATCGTTATTATCACTCCTCTTTCCGTTCTTAGTATGCTACACTCTCAAGTAACATCTGTAAATAACCTTTGGCTCTTATGTGACCTATTTGCGTTGCAAGTGCCGTAAAACTCGAACTAATACTAAGAACGGTTTTGTGACTTCGTATGTGTATGCGTATGAACTAGGGGCTAGTGCTTATTTATCACGTTTTGCTGTGTGTGCTTTCTGAGAGTTACGGGTCTTTCTTCTGCTATAATGGATTCTTTGTGCGTGGTTGGCGGGTGCTCTGGCGTGGTTTGCTCCTTCTTTCCAATCAAACATCTATTGTCGTTATATTTCCTCCTTTTATCGTTTTTTAAAACTCTCTATTAATACCTCTAATTTTAGGCATCTATATTACGGTCTAATTGTGTTGCAAGTGTAGCAAAACTCTAACTAAATACTACTAATATTGTTGTACTGTTCTAGGGGTGAGTGATCATGGATTGATTAAGGCGAAGATAAAACATGCAAGTACTTACCGCCAAGACGAAGATAAAACATACATGTACTTTTATACCGACAAGATGAAGATAAAACATACATACATGTACTTACCGACAAGGCGAAGATAAAACATACATGTACTTACCGACAAGACGACGACAAAAAAAAAATGTACTTACCGACAAGACGACGATAAAACATACATGTACTTACCGACAAGACGACGATAAAACATACATGTACTTACCGACAAGGCGACGAAAACCAGCCCGAGAGCCAGAACAAGCAGCAATGTTTTGGAAGCAAAAATCATCTTGAAAAGAGACCCAACGACTTGTCCTTCAAACAGAAGAAATACAGGTTTAAGTAAAGTGCAAGCCCCTCCTCCCAGACACATGAATGCATACATGCATAAAATATTCGGCATTGTGGTGAAAACAGGCGCTCGTCCAAATAAAAAAATCGAAGAAACCAACATATTCCCATCCATTGAAAAATTTTAATTGATTTTTTTTAAAAATAGTTATTATTTTTTTG